GCTACTTGGAAGGCTGAGGCAGAAGGATTGCCAGAGTCCAGCAGGTCGAGGCTGCGGTGGCTGGGAGCGGCCACTGCACTCCAGTCTGGACGACAGAGTGAGACTCCAACCCCCCCCCCCCCAAAAAAAAGAAATGTACTTTTGGGTTGAGAGGTTAGCAACTGTTGGAAAGATAGGCAGCATATTAGAATTACCTGGGAGCCGGGCTTGGTGGCTCAGCCTGTAATCCACGCTTTGAGAAGCCTAGGTGAGTTAATTGCCTGAGCCCATGGGTTCGAGACCCACCTGGGCAACTTGGCGAGACCTCATCTCTACAATAAATCAAAAAAATTAGCTGGGCGTGGTGGCGCGCGCCTGCGGTTCCAGCTACTTGGAAGGTGGAGGTGGAAAGATCACCGGAGCGCAGCAGGTCGAAGCTGCAGTGGCCGTGAGTGTGCCACTGCACTCCAGTATGGGTGACAGAGTGAGACTCCAACTCAAAAAAAAAAAAAAAGAATTACCTGAGGTGCCGGGCACAGAGGTCGAAGTCTGTAATCCCAGCACTTTGGAAGGCCTAGCTGAGAGGATTGCCTGAGCTCAGGGGTTCAAGACCAGCCTGGGCAACTTGGTGAGACCTCGTTTCTACAATAAATCAAAAAATAAGTCAGGTGTGGTAGCACACACCTATAATTCCAGCTACTTGGAAGGCTAAGGCAGAAGGATCATCTGAGCCCAGCAAGTGGAGCTGCAGTGGCCATTAGCATGAGACTCCGACTCAAAAAAATAAAAATAAAAATTTCCTGGGGTGCTTTAAAAGTTACTAAGGAGTGCCCCCATATTCGTACTTCATGTCAGAAGTGGAGCTTGGTTTTTTTTTTCCAGCTCCTGAGACTGAGAGCCACTGACATAAGAGGATTTGACAAAGTCTGTACAAAGAATTGTTTACAAGAACTTGACTTTATTTTTATAAGTTTAACTGATTAGATTTTCTAGTAACTGTTTAAATATTCTGGAGAAATAATGCTTGTTAGGTTATGCATCTTAAGTACTTAAAAAGAAAATCAAATATATTAAATGTATAAATGGAGTTAAAATATTTAAGGGAATGTAATTAAGCTGGAAATAGGACTGAGTGTTTAAAGGAATTTAGTCCGTTCAACTTGAGTTCAAACATTAATTAGAGGAAAAGTTGAGGTCATTTTTCTTATTTTCCTAGGTTTATGTATAGAATAATAATTTCTTTTTTTTTTTTTTTTTGAGTTGGAGTCTCACTCCGTCATCCAGACTGGAGTGCAGTGGCATGCTCCTGGCCACCACAGCCTCGACCTGCTGGGCTCCGGTGATCCTTCTGCCTCAGCCTTCGAAGCAGCTGGAACTACAAGCATGTGCTACCACGCCCAGCTAATTTTTGATTTTATTGTAGAGATGAGGTCTCACCAAGTTGCCCAGACAGGTCTTGAACCCGCGGGCTCTGGCAATCTACTCACCTCAGCCTCCCAAAGTGCAGGATTACAGACTGAGCTACCGAGCCTGGCTAGAATAATAATTTCTAAGTTAAAATTGATGGCTTAAAGAAAATTATGCTTTAAAAAATGGTTACTCCAGGCCAGGCGTGGTGGCTCAAGCCTATAATCCCAACAGTTTGGGAGGCCAAGGCGAGAGAATTGCTTGAGTCCAGGAGTTTGAGACCAGCCTAGGCAACATAGTAAGACCTCATCTCTAATAATGATAATAATGATAATAATTTTCCAGGTGTGATAAACAAGCAAACAAATACATAAAGTCACAGAGTCAGAGGCAGAGCCAAGGCCTGGAATCTAGACCCTAGTTTTGAATGCCATCTCTACCCTGATGACTCTTATCTCAGATTCAGACCTCTCCTTCAAACTCCAGACCCATGTCCCCATTTGTCTTTGGACATCTCCACCTGATGTCTATGGGGCAGTTCAACCTGCTTGAGCCCAGGAATTCGAGACCAGCCTAGGCAACACAGCAAGACCTCATCTGTACCAAAACAATAATAATAATAAAAAAAATTACCTGGACATGATGTGGCCAGAACAGAATTTAGGATCATTATAGTTGATTTTAAGTTGTTGAAGTTAAACTGAGATGTTCCTCCTTCCCCTTTCCCGGACACCCTACATACATCTGCCAGCTTGTTCTGTCTGTACTGACTCACAAAATACATCCCAAATCTGATCACTACTCTAATCCACACCCTAATCTAAATTAGTATCCATCCTCCCTCAACTGATCCATCACAGTAAATTTCCCTCTTCAGTCCATTCTCTAGAGAGCAGCCAGAATGATGACATTAAAATGTAAATTAGATCTTGTCACAACTCTGCTTAAAACCCTTCAATGGCTTCTTGGTGCAATAGGAAAAAATGTAAGACTCCTTACCATTGGTTACAAGACCAGACATGAGCTGACCCGAGCCCACCTCTTCATAATTCACTCTACTTCGCTCCCTCAGACATCCCAGGACTGCAACCGCCCCAAGGCCTTTGCACCAACGACATCCTGTTTGACGCGCTACTAATCATTCAGGTCTCTAGGTCAAGTGTCAGTCTCAGAGCGGTCACCTAGACTGCTACAGCACCATCACCGCCTCCCCAATCAGCCTGTCTTCTGTTCTTCAAAGCACTACACCCCTCCCATCCCCCCACACACCGTAGACTGAGCGCTCTTTGAGAGCAGGGACTTGTTCATCGCTGGGTTTCCAGCGCGGGCCCAGAAAAAGCGCTAGGAAAACATCTGTTGAATGTCCGCGGTACTCCAAAGCCCTTGCTCGGTCTAGTCCCAAGATGGAAGGAGTGGTCCCGGGTCTCCTGCCTTCCAGGCCAGGGTTCTCAGCTGCGAAGCCCAGGGATGAAAGGAACAGAAAGCAGGGCAGAACGGTTCCTTCCCCTGAGGCTGAGCTGAAGGGGTCTGACTCGAGGACAAGACTTTGCGATAGTCTCCAACTCAGCATGGACTTGGGGCTGGCAGAGGAAACATGGTGGAGAAACGAGGAAGTGTCCCGGGAGCCCAGATCCCCTCGTCTCTATCCACTCCCCATCACGAGAAATGGTGTGTCCCGCCACGGGGCGCACGGATTTAGAAGGAAGAGTCCAAATCTCTCCGTGGCGGGAAGGAGACTAGGACTCAACCCTCGACGTCCCGCCAAAGAAGATACCTGGCTCCGTGGGGTAGCAAGGGCTTCGGGCTCCTCCTCCTGGTGCCAGCGTCGCGCACTGCTTGCTGGTATTCGTAGTTCTTTCTTGGGTACAGGGGCCCTTCCCAGAAAGCTTCAGGCGCGGGAGGGGGGGAGGTTGAGGATCCGCGAAGGCTTCTGGGAGTTGTAGTTCGCAATATTTAAACAGCCTGGAATGATTGAGAAGGAAACCTGAGTAAAAATCTTATCAAATGATTTGCCCTGTCTTGATATCAATGTAATGAGATTTTCTTCTACTACTCGGGTCAGAAGTTATCCCCGTGGTTCAAAACGACTAGCACTGAGATTCAGAGGAACTACAAATCCCACAAAGTGTTGCACATCGAAAGCCTTTGGAGCGCGAGATAGGCCTCGGCGCAGGCGCAGTGGCACGGGGTTGGCAGTGAAGAAACATGGCGGCTCCTACGCTAACTGCCCGCTTGTACTCCCTGCTGTTCCGCAGGACTTCCACTTTCGCCCTCACCATCGCCGTGGGCGCCCTGTTCTTCGAGCGCGCTTTCGACCAAGGCGCGGACGCCATCTACGAGCACATCAACGAGGGGGTGAGGGCCTGGGCCATCCCTGACCTTGGGCCCGCCTGAGGGGTGACAGTGGGAGAGGAGGTGGGACGGGACTCAGTCTGCTTTTACCAGGAAGGGGGTAAACCGTGGGCGTCTTCTGTCTGGAGATATCTGTCTGCCCTCTCTGCTTGGTGTGATCCCTAATACGTTGAGTGAGGTCAATAGATCCCACGTAGCAGGGTATATAGGTATTGATACATCCCACCCCACCACCCGCATGTCCATTTTCAGAAGTGAGAATTCATGCCTAATGAGAGCAAAGGACTTAGTAGGGGCACATCACCACGAAGTCAGTGGCAAGTTAGGGGTGCAACACAGAGCCCTGTGTCTGAGGGCTTCAAGGGCAGATTGGAGCAGTCAACCGTCGTGAAAAGGACATTAGACACTTTAGATACCGTCGCTGCTCTCTTTACCATTGGTGGCACTCCCGGTCCCCAAGGCTTCTTGCTCAGGCAGCTTGGTATTAGTGGTTAAGACTGAGGGATAAGGAATCAGAGAGCCTTGGATAGGAATACTGGACTTTGTTACTTAGTAACTGTAGCTTTAAGTGGGCAAGTTTGTTAACTTCTTTGAGCTTCAGTTTTGTCTATGAAATGGAGATAACAGTAACCTGAGGGGATTATTGTGAGGATTATATGAGATACTGTCAAGGTACCAGTGCCTGGTAGGTGGTACCACTGAAAACTAACAATCCTTACTTTCCTCTGAAGAAAATGGAAGCATAAAGTAGAGAATAGCCTCACATTTTAGACTTATTATGTACGAGGCACTGTGTTAGATGCTGAGCATGCTTTTTATTATTAAATTGTGGCCATTGCCGGGCTCAGTGGCTCAGCCTATAATCCCGCACCTTGGGAGGCTGAGGTGAGTGGATTGCCTGAGCCCACAGGTTCGAGACC